TTACTAGGAAGCAGATTGAATTAGTAATCAAAAACCTCCCAACAAACAAAAGTCCAGGACCAGATGGCGGAACATTTAAGAAGAATTAACACCAATCCTTCTCAAATGCTTCCAAAAAACGGAAAAGGAGGGAACACTTCCAAACTCATTTTACAAGGCCCTGATACCAAAATCAGACAAGGACACTACAGGAAAAAAAATTACAGGCCAATATCCTTTATGAATATAGATGCAAAAATCCTCAACAAAATATTAGCAAACAATACATTAAAAGGATCATATACCATGATGAAGTGGGATTTATCCCTGGGATGCAATATTGGTTCAACATCTGCAAATCAATCAATGTGATACACCACAGTAACAAAATGAATAAAAATCATATGATATCTCAGTAGATGCAGAAAAAGCATTTGACAACATTCAATATCCATTCACGACAAAAACTCTCAACAAAGTGGGTACAGAGAGAATGTAGCTCAATGTAATAAAGGCCATATATGACAAGCCCACAGCTAACATCATAGTCAATGGTAAGAAATTGAAAGCTTTTCCTCTAAGATCAGGAACAAGACAAGGATGCCCACTCTCACCACTTTTATTCAACATAGTACTATAAGTCCTAGCCAGGGCAATTAGGCAAGAAAAAGAAATAGAAGGCATCCAAATAGGAAAGGAAAAAGTAAAACTCTATTTGCAGATGACATGATATTATCTATAGAAAATTCTGAAGACTCGGCCAAAAAACTTAGAAGTAATAAACAGATTAAGTAAAGTTGTAGAATACAAAATCAATATACAAAAATCTGTTGTGTTTCTATACACTAATAACAAACTATCAGAAAGAGAAATTAAGAAAAAAAATCCCATTTACAGTTGCATCAAAAAGAATAAAATACCTAGAAATAAATTTAACCAAGGAAGTGAAAAACCTGTACACTGAAAACTATAAGGTATTGATGAAAGAAACTGAAGATGACACAAGTAAATGGAAAGATACTCTGTGCTTATGGACTGGAAGAATCAACATTGTTAAAATGTCCATATTACCCAAAGCAATCTACAGATTCAATGCAATTCCTATCAAAATTTCGAGGGCATTTTTCACAGAAATAGAAGCAACAGTCCTAAAATTTGTATGGAACCACAAAAGACCCCAAATAGCTAAAGCAATCTTGAGAACAAAGCTGGAGGCATCCCGCTTCCTGATTTCAAAATATATTACCAAGCTACAGTAATCAAAACAGTATGGTATTGGCATAAAAACAGATACACAGATCAATGGAACAGAATAGAAAGCCCAGAAATAAACCCACATACATATGGTCAATTAACTTACAACAAAGGAACCAAGAACATACAATGGGGAAAGGACAGTTTCTTCAATAAATGGCATTGGGAAAACTGGACAGACACATGGAAGAGAATGAAACTGGACCCCTATTTCACACCATACACAAGAGTCAACTCATAATGGATTAAAGTCTTAAACATAAGACCTGAAACCATAAAACTCCTAGAAAAAAAACATAACCAGTAAGCTCCCTGACACAGCTCTGGGCATGATTTCTTGGATTTGACAACAAAAGCAAAAATAAATGAGTAGGACTACATCAAACTAAAAAGCTTCTGCATAGCAAAGGAAACCATCAACAAAATGAAAAGGCAACCTACAGAATGGGATAAAATGTTTCCAAATCATATATCCGATAAAGAGCTAATTACCCAAAATATATAAAGAACTCATACAACTCAACAGAAAAAAAAAACAACCAAACAATCCAATTAAAAAATGGGCAGAGGATCTTAACAGACATTTTTCCAAAGAAGACATACAAATGAGCAATAGGTACATGGAAAGGTGCCCCAAATCACTAATCATCAGGGAAATGCACATCAAAACCACAGTGGGCTATCATCTCACACCTGACAGAATGGCTACCATCAAAAAGAGAAGAGATAATGAGTGTTGGTGAGGATGCAGAGGAAAAGGAATCCTTGTACACTGTTGGTGGGAATGTAAATTGGTGCAACCACTATGGAAAACAGTATGGAGGTTCCTCAAAAAATTAAAAATAGAACTACCATATGATTCAGCAATTTCACTTCTGGGTATTTATCCCAAGAAAACGAAATTACTATCTCAAAAAGATATATGCACCCCCATGTTCACTGAAGCATTATTTACAATAGCCAAGACATGGAAACAACCTAACTGTCCATCAATGGATGAATGGATAAAGAAAATGTGGTCCATACATACAATGGAATATTATTCAGCCATAAAAAAGAAAGTAATCTTGCCATTTGGGACAACATAGATGGACTCTGAGGGTATTATGCCAAGAGAAATGAGGAAGACAAAGACCGTATTATTTCACGTGTATGTGGAATCTGGAAAAAAAAAAACCCCAACTCATAGATACAGAGAACAGACTGCTGGTTGCCACAGGCTGGTGGTGGTGGTGGGGGGCGGTGTAAAATGGGTGAAGGTAGTCAAGAGATACAAACTTCCAGTTATAAGATAAATAAGTTCCGGGGATGTAATGTACAGCTTGGTGACTATGGTTAACAATACTGTATTGCATGCTTGAAAGTTGCTAAGAGAGTAAATCTTAAAAGTTCTCATTACAAGAAAAAAAAATCGTGTACTGTGAACTGTGAACTGTGTAGTGATGGATGTCAAGTTATTGTGATCATTTTGCAATATATACATATATCAAATCATTATGATATAGTCAAAACCCTGTTTATGACTCATTTTACAATTTCCAATTCTTTCCATGAGACTTCACTCAGTCTTGCATTACACAATCACCTCTGGCTAGAAGCAAAGGAATTTACCTCAGGAGGTAATCAACGACTTGACTCTCCTGCCTACCTGTTCCTTGAGGCAAACTTTACCTTGGAATGCAAGGACACATCTCATTCACCCGCCCCCATACCCTAATCTTTGAGGCTAACCAGACCACCTAATATTTTCTCTTTTGACATTTCTATAGAAGACAAAAAATAGCTAAACTGGTATATAACGGCCCCACACAGGCACTTCCAGGTAGCAGCTCTCTACTGGCCATGGGTCCTGTCCCCATGCTGAAACACTTCCAGGCAGCAGCTCTCTACTGCCTACGGGTCCTGTCCCCAGGCTGAACACAAAATAAAGGTGCACGAACGAACGACCAGCTCACGTCTGAAAATTCTTTTTCGACTCGCGACTCAGCGGCCCCACATCAATTACGTTGTACACTAAAGCTAATACAATGTTATAGGTTAGTTATATCTCAATTAAAAAAAAAGGATCACCCTCTGAAATCTGAGAATGATGCTGACAAAACGGGTATTTCTCAATTCTTCAGAGATAAAGGTATAGCTTTTCAGGAAGAAAGGACTGTGAGCAACTTATTTTGTAAGCTGCCTGACCTGAAGTAATGGTGATTTTGGGAACTGGTAAAATTACATTTAAAAGTAAGACTTTGTTAGTCTTCAATAGGTTGAGTCAGTATAAGGAGGAAGGTCCAGGCCACCTGACCAATTACTTACACAGAAATATCTCTGACACAAAGACAACAAATTAGGCTTTGTAAGTAAGGGCAAATACAAATTTCAAAAAAAAAAAGGGTTTTCCCTTGTGTCAAAAGGGAAATAGACTTTCCCCCCACTCCCTTTTCTTAGAGCATTTCCTTGAGCAAATTTGTAACTGTAAATCCTTTGTCTGTCTCTTTGATATAAATGTATATCTTTTTAAATGCTAAGCAAGCCTCTCGCCAGTTTATAAACCAAGGATGTCTTTCTTAAAGGTTTTGGGGTCATCTGTTCCAAATGTAAACGTCAAGGAAGATCGAGCCCGGATCTCCTTGTCTCTGAATTTAGGCTTGGCACCTGGCTCCATGCTGTAACCATCTGCTTATCATAAAGATACTGAGAAGTCTTATTTTTCCTCTGGATAAAGGCAATTGGCCAACACAAACTACCACCCCAATTACCAGTGAATTTAGGATGAACTATGAACAGCAAATGGTGCTGGCAAGTCCTCTTAAGATCAAGTTATTATTTACCTTGAGAACATGTACATAATATGAAATAGGTTATATTTGCCTGGGCGCATAAAGGGCTGAGAATTCTGTCTTTGCAATCCCATTGGCAGATTGCCCGTGATGGGCATAACAATCTGGTCTAAGGCTTATTCAATAATAAGGCTGTTTAGTTCTTTTCTGGATTTGTAGAGAGGAGGTTCTTGGTTGGCAGCTTTTATTTTTAATTATTTCCCTAACAGCTTCCATGACATGAAATACCCCTCCAGAACATTCAGCAAATTGCTAGAATCCTGATTGCACGAATCAACTTTTGGACAGAAACCTAATCGTGCACTTGTCCGTCAGGAGGATGTCCCCCATGCAAACAACTGTTCCAATTCGATATATACACGTATATCTGTATCTCCAGGATCTCTCTACAACTTTTCATATATACGGACCACGGTGACTTCAAGGTACCTCTCCTCTCAGAGGCGGGGCCCACTCCGGGCAGAAATGCCCCTCTGGCGTCCCTTCTCCTAAGGTAACTGCACGCAGTTTCATCTACCGCTCCAGGCCCCGGAACACTCATCTGCAGTCGGGGAAATCTCGTTGGTAACACAAAGGCCGGGAGTAAGCTTTAACGTGAGAGGCAATCAACACACTTTTGAGAACCGTAATCCTCCGCTGAGACGCCGGACTCAGGCAGTAAAGTTTGGGCAATTTTTCATCCCGGGATTTTGAACAAATTAGAGAAGGCAGGGAAGCGGCTCAGAACCCTACACCCACCCAACCAAGTGGACGACGCGCCCTCTGCACCTGGGCTTCCCGACCTCGCCCTTCTCACGAGCCTCCCTCCCTCCTCGGGCTCGGCTCCCTTTTACTCCGAGCAGGGGAAGGCCCCGAGCGCCAGCGGCGTCTTCGTCCCTACCCTGGGATAGCCCCTGTCCCCCAGCCCGCCCACCTGCCGGGCACCGCGTGCCTCACCTGCGGACCGCGAGGGGCGCAGGCGATGCCCGCCGCCGCCTTGCCGCCGGCCCCGCGTGAGCCTGTAAACGCAGTAGCAGGCGCCGGCGCCGAGGACCAGGCCCGCCGCCACCCA